CTCGGAATCTTGGGCACACACGCACATGCGCCCAGTGTGAGTTTAAGCCTCCCGGGTCTGGGACTTGATCCATGGTCGGCTACATGGGAGTCCGGTTACATAGCCATTACGCTAACTGCTGGTCCCCAAAAGACTTTCAATAGGTACAGCTATAAATCAAAACCCACAGTTCCAAGGTGATGGTTTCCTATAAAGCCCATGACAACAGTACTGCATTTAGTAATATTAGTATATAAAAGCTTTACAGGCTCCATACCTTGTTGTCTTCCCAATAAAGTGCAAAACATTCATCTCCAGGTTTCCACACTTTTGCATACTCCATAGGAATAGATGATTCTAGTACTTTTTCTGGTTTAATTGGCCCAGATCTTCTTTTAGGCCCACTATTGTAAAATATTTTATCATCATAGGGCATAGCTGTGACAGGCCCTGCTGGCTTAATAGGTCCTATTCGTCTTCCTTTCAGCGGTATTTCTGTCTCTCCATTTGGAACAGCAATAAAACTATTACTTCGTATAGGATTCTGGTAGTCAGTATTTACATTAAAATGCTTTTCAATTTTTATCCCACTGAAAGTTTCATTATTTATTGTTCGTGACTTTCTGTCATAAAAATAATCAAGATTAGCTGTCTGGTTTTCTCTCTTCCCACGTTTTTGATGATTATAATCTATGGATTCTTGAGCAAGTGGATTTTCTCTTGCCTCTGCATATGATGGACCTTTTCCTGGTCTGTTTTGCATAGAGTTATCTCTTTTTTTAAAAGCACCATCATTGTGCTGAGAACTTAGAGGATATGAAGTGTCTTTAGTTCTGTCATATCTAGAATACGGTCGATCACACCTGAGTCTCTCTTCAGTCCATACTTCAGATCCTGAAGAAGTACCTTGTCTTTCAGAACCTCTGTTTCTAGGTAATCCACTGCTGTCCAAACCTGACTTTGAATTTTGGGCATCTCTTTGAAAACGAGGAGGTTTTTCATTTCTTGGCTGCCTGGTATCATTTCGAGGAACGAATCTCGGTTGGTTGTTATCTTTTACTCCATTCTGCTCAGTATTTGATAGTCGGTGTTGTCCCTGATGAAGCTGCTGGGGCTGTGACTTAGGTTCTGAAAGGGAAAATCATATCATGTATAAATTAAAATGAAGATTCTGCATTAATGCTTAATTATTTTAAAATGCCAAAAATTATATGAATACAAAATTATCAAACTAAGATTTTGACACTTCCTCCATCTTATCATCTCATTATCTTAAGCCATTTCTGCTTCATTAGAAGCCTATATTTCTAATGTAACAATCCAGGGACCAAGATAAAAAAAAGTTTCCTCATTACCCACATTAGTGAAGTAATGATATGAATCACACACACATACACACACACACAAAATGGTGGATAATTTAAAGCCATTTTTTTGTCACTAAACATCTGCATTCTTGTTATACAGCCATCTATATCTGCTATTCTGATAATACATTTCCCAAAACATTAATAAAGCAAAACTGTAAGATGCTAACTCAGAAACTCCTAGGAAACTGCACAAATGCGGCCTCTGTTCACCCTCTTTCTAAATCCCAATCAAATCCTGAAATATATAGCTATTATTCTCAGTCATATTCTAGTCTTTGCAAAACTGCTCCTTTTCAAGTCTTCCAGATCTACTATAAACAGATATCCTATTATAGAAAAGAACTGATAAATTTCTTGGTCATAGAAGTCATTAAGTAGCAGGTACTACTTTGACATACAGAAACATGTTTAAAATATTACTAAGCATAATAACACAGATAATGTTCAACTAGAAACCAAAAGCAGTAACCAAAAACATAGGTAATTGTAATACCCATGTTTCACATAGTGAGTTTTATTCTATTTCAATTTGTGCTACACTGTTTTCACTATTTTCCTCTACTGCTTTACATCGCATGCCCACAACTTTAATACTGGACATTGATTTGTCTTTGGTATAGACAAGTGTTGTTTCTTATCATATACTATATTCAGCATGCAGGTCATAATTATTCTTACCCTTCTCCAGGGTTACAACATTTCCAAAGAGAAACAGTATGGCCGTTTGGGTCAGACTATTTCCTGCGTTGCAGGAAAATTAACCTCAATGACTTCCGGACACTAAATTTAAAATCAGCTTCCCCCACACTGGACACATGTGCCTCTGTGCCCCAAATCCTGACAAGATAGAGGAATGGAGGAGAAGGGATTACAGCATGACCAGGCCCCATTGGAGGGTTGCTCTCTCCTTCTCTCTCTCTGTCTCTCTCTCTCTGGCAGGTACATGTGTTATCTCACAAATTAAAAAAAAAAATTTATAATCCACACTTTAGCATTAAGGGGGCAAGCAGGTGGCATGGTGGTTAAGGGTGCTGGACTCCCATATGGCTGACTACGGTTCAAGTCCCAGACCTGGCAGCTTGCTTTCTCACTTTCCCTCTCTTGTCTCTCCCACCCTGTCCCTCCCTGGTCAAACTGAAAAAAAGAAGGAAAGAAGGAAAGAAGGGAAGGAAGAAAAAAAAGAAAGAAAAATAAAATAATTCTTCTTAAAAATTTAGCATTAAGAACTGCTATGAGTCTGTGGAAATATACAAGAGTTACATTAATAGAATATAACAAATTTTTTTCCTTTGATACCAGAATCGATTTACTTAAGTAGTTCTAGACTATGATCTTTCTTACTAATAACTGACACCTTCATTTATATACTCAATCACTTTTACATGTCAGTTTTCTTGTATTAAAAGAACTGCCCTAGGAAAGAGAACACGAAATTTACAAACACCTTATTATTTTTCACATTAAAAAAAACACAGCCCAGGGACCAGCAGTTAGCATAATGGCTATGTCGCTGGACTCCCACGTAGTCGACTGCGGTTTGAGTCCCGGACCTGTTGGCTTAAACTCACGCCGGGCACATGTGCGTGCGTGCCAAAGATTCTGAGAGGAGAATGGAGGAGAAGGGATTGCAGCGTGGCCATCCCCCCTGGGGGGTGATTTCCTGCTTTCTGTCTCTCTCTCTCTCTCTGTCTGTCTGGAGAGTGCACACGCCCTATAGCAAAAACCTCTCCAAAAAAGAAAAAAAAAAAACACAGCCCAGAAAAGCTAAGAAAATTGGCTTCTCAGGTCTTTACTCAAAATCTAGTTGCTTTCTGCCACCACTCTTAAGAAAACACCATGATTCCAAATCACACAAGATACAATGAGCACCATAAGCCAGAACTACAATCGCTCTAATAATAAACGCACTGGGCTAGCCAGTGGCATGGTGGCCAACAGCACAGTTTGAGTCCCTGACCTGGCAAGTTGAAGAACATTCTGGGCATGTGTGTGTGTATGCACAAAATTCTGAAAGAAGGAAAAAGTAGAAAAGAAAGGATTGTGGCATGACCGTTCCCTATAGGGAGTATTTTTTCAATTTTCCTGTCTTCTGTCTCTCTTATGAGCATATGCACTCTTTATCAAAATCAGTCAGTCAATAAACAAAGATATTTTTAGATACAGGCAAGAGAGTATATGCATTACTTCTTTTTTTTTCAATGAACCAAAGGGAAAAGACAAAAAAACTGCATAAATAAAAACTTTTAACATTTAATATTAAATAGCAGAAAAAAGAGATTAGCAAAAATGATAGAAAAACATTACAAAATAGACAAAACTGTGAAAACAACTAAAAGACAAAGGCGATGAAAGCTCATGAGTAAACTAATCAAAGAATATTAAATGAGTTTAATATATTTGAGATAAAATGTCCCTATTAGATCATGAGTCTAAAAATGTATGTTTACATGATAATTGAATACATTGTTTTATATCACCATGATTTGAAATGCATGAATCATTAAGAATGAATTTATTAATTGTCACAAATCATTTGAGCCTGTACGTAAGGGCATGCTGAATTAATCAGGCATTTTCAACTATTATTACTTCTTTGCTGATATTCATTCTTCAGCAGCAGTTGTACCTACATTTTGCAGTGGTAAAACAGGAACATTTTGTATCCCAAGACTAATCCTCACTTTATTCTGATGACTTACTAGTTATTAAGCTCTTACTATGTGCCTGACACTGCATTAACGGCATTCTGTCTACATTATTTTATGAATCCTCACAACCATCCTAAAAGGACAGCAGTATTATCCTTACTTTATGAGCAAAGAAAACAAAATAATGTGCCTCGAGTAAAGGCTTATGCTAGAAAACACTGAAACCGGAATTAAGCTGACACCTAACTGAAGCTAAAGCCCGTGATCTTTTTCACTATAGCAAGTTGCCTGCCCAGAGAAACAAAACAGAATATAGCCAATAATGTCTTAGCTACAATTTTATCACCTGTATCTGCTCATTTCAGGTCAGATGCAAAAATCACAAAAGCTTTTTTATAGTTCCAAGGGCTTAGAAATGAATTTGGATACTACAACTACCAGAAATCTGACCTAAAATTAATAATCTCCTTCCATTAATAATGACAAAAACTAAAACCTCTATTGACAACTGAACTGGTACTTAGAAGCTCATAAACTGGGACTTAGAGATAATCCAGTGTGAAGGGTACCAGCTCTGCAGAGGATTACATAGCCTTATATGACAGGTCTGCCCACTTACCACTTCTGTAGCCAGAGCCAAGATACTTCACTCTTCCTTTTTTATTATTATTTTTTATTTATTTTTTATTTATTATCATCACAATCTTGTTTATATTACACTGAATTGCATATAACTTTACAGTGTATTATATTGCTTTTTCAAAAGCATTGCCATGCATGTCAGTCAATACAGATACATTAAACTCCCCACTTCATCATTCGATATATTTTATTGTTTTTTTCTGATCATTATTATTATTATTCCAATTTTTTTTTAAACAATCACTATTTCTCATTTTTCTTCTAAAAAGACTTTACCCATCATGAAATACTTCTCAGACCAAACCAGTTGATAATACTATATGAAATATTGGAGGACACTTCACTTTTCTTTTTTTTTTTTTGGAGAGGTTTTCGCTATAGGGCACATTTGCTCGCCAGACAGACAGAGAGAGAGAGACATAGAGACAGAAAGAGAGAAATCACCCCCCAGGGGGGATGGTCACGCCGCAATCCCTTCTCCTCCATTCTCCTCTCAGGATCTTGGGCATTCACACACACGTGCCTGGCGTGAGTTTTAAGCCACCAGGTCCGGGACGCGAACCGCGGTCGACTACATGGGAGTCCAGCGACATAGCCATTATGCTAACTGCTGGTTCCCAACACTTTACTTTTCTGAGCCTCATCTTTGAGATAAAGAAACTAACAGAGCCTACCCCAAAAGACTAAGTAAACATGTGTAAAGTACTCAGAACAGTATCTGGCTTCAGTAAGCACTCAGTAAATGTCATCTGTAATTATTATTATTATTATTACTATGACTATCATTATTAGCATTACAATTACACAAATGAACTAATAATTAATGATAAGGTACTTTCATTTTTACACATTCTCATCACCACCAAGCCTCACCTTTAGTTAGGATCCTTAGTTGGCTTTAGATTTTTATTACAGTTTTCCTGTTTGTTTGCTCTTGTTGAAAGCAGGGCAGGAAGAACACTTAGGAAAACCTCATTTGGTGTCAAATTATAAGTTAAATTACAGAGAAAATTCAGATATACCAGAAAGTTAAATCATACTCAAATACTGCATTTCTTTTAAAATATATTATAAACATGCTCCAGATCAAATTCTTCTAAACATCCTTTTAATTTTTTTTCTACACAAAAATTGCTAAAAAAAATTTGTTAAAAAAAAACCTCACTCATCGTCCTATCGTTAGAAAAATGTATAGAATGAAAGTTCCACTTTCTGTCTATCCAATCCTGTCTCTAAAAACAACCACTTATTAACAGTTCCGGAGGTTGTTCTTTTGTATACAATTCATAGATGTATCTGTGTACTTTTTTTTTTCCACCAAAAAGAGTAGACTCATATTACAGCTCATGAACTGCAGTCTCCTTAAATTAACAGTATCTCATGGACATCTTTTCAAGTTAGTATATAGCAGTATTTTGATAATTTCAGTACTGCTTTTCTTTTTTAAAGGCAGTCACTTCAAATACTA